TTTCTTGAACCCACCTGTGATGCTGCCGTGTGAGATCCCAGGTCCTGCACTTGGGGGATCCTCTTTGGGGCCGACATCCCGAGCTGAACAGCAGCAGCAGCAGGCAGAACATCATTGGGGTTTCTCCAGCAGTTGTCCTTTTACCAGTCTTTGGCTCTAAAAACAACCGCTCCAGTGTGCCCGTGGATTAGGCTTTTATTTATTTTTATCAGTAAGTGGCAGAACAGTGCAAACGGGGATGTTATTTACCTCGTTTCCTAATCCTGCTCTGCCTTAAACTTCGTGAGAAAGGAAATCTTAATTCTACAACAGAAGTGATGTCAGAGGGAGGTGTGGTGGGGTGCTATTCAGCAGTGAATGCTGATATTTATCACCTCTATTTCCTTAAGGTTTCAGGCTGGGACGATAGGATGATCCCAAAGGATGGATGCTGCCCGACTTGGCCGCTTTTAATGGCTTCTGCTCTTTTCTTACCTCTCAGTTTCACCCTGATACCCTGTAGGTAAAAAACACAAAACCACAAAAAAGAAACCCAAACCACAGAGGAAAACAAGCAAACAAAAAGAAAACAACACAAGGTGTGTTTTCATGGTGTTTAATACCTGTAATGGCAGAAGGACCATCGCGTGCCCTGGGATGGAGAGCGTGCACGGAGGTGTGGGACATCGCCTGCGTGCTCTCCAAGCAATCCTGCTCGAAATGCTTCCCATTTTTTCCATCAGATCCCACCAAAACACTTTCCCTTGCTCAGCCCTGGCTCGAGGAGCTGTGCTCCTCCTCGGCTGCCTCTTCCCACCTCTGTGCTACCTCGCCGGTGCCACTGCAGCTGCCGGAGGGGCCATCTGGCGAACCAGCTCAGGGAACAGCAAAAAAAAAAGGTTATTTTTAACCCAGATCAGTTCTTAATCTGGTTTGCCGCACAGCCCCTTAACAGTTGCGATGGCACAAGGATGGCAAGCAGTTTTGGGGGAGGAAACACGAAAAGCCCCACGGAGGTTTCCTGCGATGCGCTTGCTCTGTGTTCCCAAATTATTTCTTTCCATGCCTTGCTCTCCTGCTAAGTACTGCCACGGATGTTTTTGGCTTCTGATTCCTTCAGGTGGATTTCATTTTATTTATATATATCTATATATCTATGTATCTATATATCTATATATAATTTTTTTGCCAGTACCACCAGTTTCTCAGGGGTTATTTATTTATTATATATATATTTTTGCCAGTACCACCAGTTTCTCGAGGATTTTTAATTTTTTATTCATTTATTATTCTTTTCATGCATCCTGAGAACTAATCTCTGCTCTGCTCTGGATAACCCGTGCACCTTCATTAACATTTCACCCCTTTCTTCCCGAATTCGGATGCTGAATACACAAAATGCTGTGACAAATCTCTCTGGTATCCCCTGTACGGTATTTCCTCGCTCCCAGCTTAGTGCCACACCTGGTATTAACACCTTGGAGCTGCAGTGTGTAGTTACTCGCTGTTGGAGTGAAGGTTTCACGAATTAGCTCTCAGCTGTGCTTCTGAAGAGGTCGGAGCCCTGTCAGTGCTCGGCCTGATGCCCGAATAGATTGCCTGTCATGTTCTCCTTAATCCCTCTCCTTTAATGCCACGAAGGCTCGTAGGAGAATGTTTTCCTTGGCTTTTTGGATTTTTCTGATAGCGATATAGGGCCAGCTGAGGCTGCTCTAGCCTGTAAATTATATTTTTAGTTTTTAAGGTGATTGCTGCATTTTCCTTTTTCACGCTGTTTTTTTTTTTTCTGTTTTCTTTTGACAGTTCAGTATTGTCCGTGGTGCCATACGTTGTTTCAATTAACATTAGTTTTCTCTAATTAACTTCTTTCTTTCACTACAAAGCTGGCTGTGACTTAGAAACCTCTAAATATCTTAGAATATAGGAACTGCACAAGAGAGGGAATAACAAACCCAGAGTGCCGTGGTTTCAATACTTCAAGAACTGCTTTTGACAAATGGATGAAAGCAGGAGGTAGGCAAGTGCTGGCACCTATTTCTGTCATTTTTTGGGATTTTTTCCTGTCTGGAATTAGGAATGGTTGAGGTAAGGATGCAGCTGGGTGCAGGAGGCTCTGCAGGAGCGGAGCAGAAGGGTGGTGATGCTCCAGGACAAAATAGGGTGCAGGTGTAGGAAAGGGATGACATCTCCATCCAATATTATCCAATAAATTTTACTTATTTGAGCCCCAAAGTTCCTTTTCTGTGGATACTGAGGGTTAAACTCAAGGTGTTACGCAAAGGGATTTAGGTAAGGTGCATGCTTAGGTGCCTGGCTCTGCTCGAGCATCGTTAGACCTCGTCCAGCTGGATTTTTAGCCCCTGATGTTTTTCCACTCCTTCCAAAATCCCAGTCTTGGTGAGTGTCCTGATGGATGGCCGTGCATTTCAGGGTCTCCGTACGGTCTTTGAGACAGAAAATTGGCTCACGAGGGAATCTGTGCAGTGCTGTCCGACTGAATAAAGTCATTTCCTTGGCTGTAGATTTCTTTTTTTTTTAACCTTCCAGCATGTCAGACACTTAGCAAATGTTTTTATCTTCACTTGATAAGTTGTGGAGAGCATTTTTAACCGAATCGTGCTAACACGAGTTTATCGTAGCAATCTGCAATCTCCCAAGGCGAGTTTTTTAATCAATACCTTCTAATTAATTCTTAATCTAGTTTATAATCCACGTGCCCAGCTCCTGCCACTGGAGCAGGAGGTCAGAGGAGGGGGGAGGAGGGGAACAGAATGAAAAATCTTCTTTCCCTGCCTGAAACACCCCTTGTAGTTGATGAAGATATTAGGTAGCAAGTTCTCTTCCTAAATAACTGCAGTAATCTAAGGCAACATTAAAGGATTTGAAGTTTTTCACACCAAGAAGAAAATGGGAGGGAAGGGAGGACTTGGGGAGTAAGCTGCAGGAATCCTTTGTTAGGTTTCTTTGCTCAGCTCGATAGAGGTAATTTGCTTTAAAAGCTGGAGCATGTAATCTAATAATTAGGAAATTAGAAGTTAATGGGAAATGGTATTCTACCTCGGCGCTAATGAATTTATTCAGCAGGTTTGGAGCAACTTTGGCTCTCCAGAGAAGGCGTGAGAAGGGGTGGGAGGAAGCTGAGAGCGGCAGGCAGGAGCTGGAAGAGCCTTGACCCTAAACCGAGGGCTTTCCACGTGCAGAAGTCTGGCACTCCAGCAAAGGAAGGGAAAATCTGTGTCCACCAGCTAAAGAGAGGAGGCTTAACGATGCCTTTCCCAGTTCTTTTAACGAGCTGAACAATGAGTTAGGCTTGCCAACAGCCAGGAAAAGAAGAATATTAACACTGGGGAGGAGAGTAATTGTAATTAGAAATGCAGCGTTCCCATTTTTATGTCTACCCCAGGCTCCTCACATCGTATTTTCCCTTGTTAGAATACATTTTTTTGTCCAATTCTCTAATAAATAAATGTCTTTCTGCTTCTACCTGGTTGGTTGGGCTTGGCTGTGTTTCTCTGCAAATCCAGGTAAATTGTGCACAAGTGGCAGCCAAGGCTTCTGACTGCTGGTCAAGAAAAAAGCAGAAAAGGACCAAAGGAAAAAGAACCAAAAAACCCCAAAACCCGACACCGAAAAGGGTGACTCTGCCGAGTCGGATGGGACCCAGATTGTTTTTTTTCTGTTTCTTCCTCGCCGCAAAGGGAGTCATTTGTTTAATTTTACCGAACGGTACTGGAGCTTTTTGGAACTGAAACTGCAGCCCACGTCTTCTTGATAAATGACTGTGTGTATTCCTGGAAGGAAGTTAAAATGGGGCTGTGTTATATTTGGTGCCTCCTGAAGCACCGAGGCTACTCGGAGAACAAAATGTGCTCAAAGAGAGCCTAATTTGCCACTGCAGAGCTCGATGTGATGAGACCTGTCAAGTCGCTAGAATTCACTTCTCCCTTTTCTCTCCCTCCTGGAGGCTGCTTGCTGATGAATTTTAGGGTTGGTACCCACTGAACTGGGAGGCTAGAAAGGCAAATCAGAAAGCCTAAAGCCACGATAAACTTCCAAGCAACAAATCTACTCGTTAGAAGGTGAAAATACAGCAGGAAAATGCCCGCACAGCAGCTGGATCCCTCCAACGTGGCACCAACCTTTGACTTGGTTCCTCGGAGCCATCTCGGGTGGCGTGGTGGGGTTTTCCTCTAGCAGCTGATCCCATGGACCTCAGTGAAAACCTTCCCGGAGCTGCGATCAATATTCTGTGCCCGTTTTCTCCCTGAGATTGGTTTTTGAGTGAAGGCTAAGGCTGGAAGGGTGGGTAGTGATAACGCAAAAGGGTTTCATGGCAACCTCTCGGTCCTGGGTTGATGGAAATAAAGAAGCCGTGCAAGGCTGGAAGGGTCCTGGGTTGTGAACAGGAGGTTTTCTGTGCCTCTGCATGATGCAGAAAGCGTGAGGAGCTGCTCGGGAGCCTTTTCTGTGCTGCGTTTTGAGCTGTTTCATTTTCAGTTCTCGGAGTTTCCGTCTCAGCTGAGACGGGAGGGGTGTTGGAGAGCCGTGTAAAGCTTTGTTTGCCCAAAACCTGTTTAGTCTACAATCCTGACAAATGGCTGGCTGGCGAGTAATTAAATAAAAGATCGGATTCCCTTCTTTCCTCCGTTTATGAAAGCCTGGTTGTGATTTTTATCTTCTCCCGATGCTGTTTGTTTCTAGTTTCTATGCAAACCTGCAGCAGGATGTCAGGAAAGGAAGGACGTGGAGGTGATGGAGCCTTTGTGCAAGTTTTCTGCCCAAAGCCCCAGACTGTATCCCTGCAGTGTGTCCCTGCAGGAAGGTGTCGAGAATTGGAAGGATGCAAATGTTGAAAATCTGCTGCATTTCATCCTGTACCTGTAGCGCTGGAAAATCTGTTCTTTGGGTTTTTAGGGGCTCCGTCCTCTTCCTCTTCGTATCCTGCAGCTCTGCATCCGTGCTCTCTGTCCTGTGGGTTTGCTGGTGGTGCCTTACCCCTCTCCTCTCTCTCTTTTTTGCAGCTGAGGACTTGTGGAATGCTGTGAAGACTCCCACTGCCCCGCAGCCCTAGGCAGATCACCGTCGGGATTGTCTCCACCCGAAGGAAGTTCATCCACGACAGGTAGCGATCGATTTGTGTTCTTCTGCTTGCCTCGAAATGCTCGTGTTTTGGTTTAAATATCCTCCAAACAACTCCCAGACCAAAAAGATTTGGGGGAATAGGGGATTGGGAACCACAAGAGCAAGTGGAGGGTGGTGAAAAAGTGTTGGTGTTTGGTGTGGCTCGGAGCCTTGTCTGTGTAAAATGAACTTCCATACAGGATCATATTAGATTTAAAACTAATTATGTGATTTCTGGGTCAAGAAATGCATAAACTGCAACTCCAGTAATGCTGCGTGCTTAGCGTATTTTATTGTGTTGATTTATAAAGTTAATAAGTCCAGGGTAATTAGCAGGCTGGAATAAAATGCACAGTAAGTATGTGCTGCTCCTGTAAAGAATTGAGAGAGGTTGCTTTTTTTAGTGTTTATTAGTCTTAATATCATCTTAGTAAATAATTAATTTTTGTTTTGTATTAAGGCAAAAGATACTGCTTGTGTTTGCTAGTGGGTTGGCAGAAGGGGTGATTCCTGGCACAAATTTCCTGGTGTAAATTTCTATCATTTGCCTGCAGGCAGTTTTCTACGAGCTTATATTGCAGCCTTTCATAAAAGAAAGGTAGAAATAATAGTTTTAAAAATAGAAACTTTAGTGTCATGTTGTCTGTAAATTGTTTGGGGCTGGTTTTATCTTAATTGTTTCTGTTTTGTTTGATGTCTTGCGTTATGAACTGGTCGGGTCCTCTAGGCATTTATGTAGAAGAAGATGTGTTATAATAGGGGTATAACGTGATCTATAGCTAGCTATTAAATATGAACACACCACTTCAGGAAATCCCTGAGCTGTTCCAGGCTGGAAAATGTGCTGGGCAAGTGTCACGGCGTGGCTGTCCCGTGCTTGCATTTTCCCCAAAGTGTTCTCAATTCTGTTGCTGCTGCAGAGAAGAAGTTGGGGGAGCCAAAGCGTTGACCTGACCCACTCCAGCTGTTCTCCTGCAGAAGTAGAGAAAACACATTGTTGACATTTTTTTTCCCCCCTCCCTTTTCCATGTTTTTTTGCTGATTGCTTAGTAACATAAACTGCCAGGCTACCCACTGAGTGTTCTGCTCCCACTCAAGGCAGATTTGCCGAAAACCAGCTGCGGACAGACGAAAAGCAGTGCTGATGGATGCTCCCCGCTCTTGAATCCACCACGTTACGCATGCATCATGCACTCAGGCATGCAGATCACCCTTATCTTCCCAATATTTTAGCCTGCAGAAGTGCTCCAGCCCATCCCTGCCCTAATTAGATGCCTGCTTTTGGGGTATGGACAAAAGCAGCCTGTTGGTTTCTTGCCTCTTCCCACCCTCCTCAACTCCACACGTCTCAGGTGGGATGGGACAGAAAGTGCCAAACGCTTCAGAAAAACTTGGCTTTTGGCAATCCTGCAGCAGCAACGACGACGGGCTCCTTTCTGTTGAATATCAAGCTGGAAAAAAGGATAAAGGTGGGGAAAAAAGGGGCTTTGGTGCTGCTTCTGTCTCCTTTTCACAAGGAGACACAGATGGGGCTGTGCTGCTTTTGCAGGGTCAAAGAAAGAATTGTAGGGCTGCAGGAGGACTGGAAGGTAGGGAGGAGGTAGGGGTTGGGGGCTGAATTGCTGAGAGATTGGAAAAGTGACTGGCATTGATGGAAGATGAGGAAGACGAGGTGTTTATCAAAATGAGAGCAAGGTAAGTGCTGGCTTTGTATGAGAAACAGAGCTGCTGGTCCCGTGGCTCTGTCTGATTCAGCTCCAGATTTAAGAAGCTCCCAGTGGGTTCAGTGAACATCCTGGGGGAGGAATTGATGGAGCCTGGGGAAATCTGGCCGTGAGCTGCCAGCTGCCTCCTCCTGGCCCCGTGGGGAATGCCCTGCCCGAGGGTCTCTCCTTTTCAGAGATTCACTTTTGGGTGTCTCAGTCTTGGGCTGAGCCTCCTCCTTTGAGATTCAGGACGGTAGAAAGTGCTCAGAAATCAAAAGATGAAAGAAATTCAGTCAAACTCTTGATGTGTGTGTGTGAAGTAAACCTCGTAACTTGGTTTACTTCGGTTAGGTTCTTTCCTGCTCGGGAAATAACCCCTCATCCCCTTCCCCTGCCAAATCCTAAGGGGAATACCAGCAAATAAATAGTTAACTGTAACGTGGAAAGTCCGTGTGTACCTAACAATACTTCACTTATCAGTGCAGTAGCCTGGTTTGGTGTAAAAGTTTTCTTTTTACGTTATACAGCGTGCCTGAATGGCATTTGGATGTGGCCAGGTGCACTTGGGCTTCCTGGAGTTGCTCCCTTCACCTCAAAATTGCAGATCTCATCTGGAAAATTTCTGGCCTTGAGTCTTGGGACCACTCGTGCCAGGTCTGTGGGGTCCTCTCGGGAGTATGTGTGATATGGGAGATGGTTTCCGGAGAGCCAGGCTGTGTAGGGCGGGGGGATCATCTGAGAATTGCTGGAGGGCTGAAGGGAGAGGGCCACAAAGATGATGCGGGGCCTGGAGCATCTTCCCTGTGAGGAGAGGCTGAGAGACCTGGGGCTGTGCAGCCTGGAGAAGAGAGGACTGAGAGGGGATCTCCTCAATGTGTATAAATACCTGAGGGGTGGGAGGCAGAGGGATTTGGCCAACCTCTTTTCAGTGGTCTGTGGGGACAGGACAAGGGGCAATGGCCACAAAATGGAGCCCAGGCAGTTCCGCACCAACACATGAAAGAATTTCTTCATGGTGAGGGTGATGGAGCACTGGGACAGGCTGCCCAGGGAGGCTGTGGGGTCTGTGGAGATATTTAAGGCCTGTCTGGATGCCCACCTGGGAAGCCTGCTCTAGGGAACTGCTTTGGCAGGGGGGTTGGATCCCATGATCTCCTGAGGTCCCTTCCAACCCTACAACTCTGTGATTGTGATGGTGACACCAAGGACAGCTATTTATGGTCCAGTGGTTGAAACAGGAGAGTTGGATGCTCTTGGTTGATGGTGGAGAACATGGGCACCCTTCTTACTCTTGGGCTTCATCTCCTTCATCTTCCCGTGCTCCCAGGGAGTCGTGCCGTAGCAAGGCATCTCCTAAATGTGCCTCAGCCAGATCCTGAAGGTGCTGGGTTTGGGGTTCCCTTTCTTCACTCTCCCACGGCAGTCGCAAATAAAGGTGTGGGAGGCTCCGGGACCTGTGGTTACTTCGCCCATCCTTGCTTCATGGGAATTTTCACTTCCTGAAAAGACTTTTGTGCCTTTCTGGACAATGTTGCAATGCTGTTTGTGTCAGAAAAGGGCAGGGAAACCCCCCTCCAGTACGTACCCAAACACACTGTGATACGTTACATAGAGAAACCTTTTCCTGTATCTTAAAATATGATGAATTTAGAAAGAGAATTTCACCTGAGATGAATGAATTTCATGAATGCAGTGAAGCATGCTTGCAAATACCTGCCTTATTCAGTTCTACTTCCTGAAGAAATTCTCTTTTAAACGTTTTTGCCTTGGTATTTTGGGGGTGGTTGCTCACCAGTTAATGACACGAACATCAGCTGCTCCTGCAGCTAGAGGGATAAGGAGGGAGCCATCATTAGGAAGATGGCATTTCCCAGAACGAGGGGAGAAAATCCAATGTCAAAAACGGATTTATAAAACAAAGGAAGGTTTTAATAAGACTTACTGACAAAAGCAGCAGAGAGGACCTCTGCCACCAGCCTTTCCAGGGACGCTCAGGACTGAATTCCTACTGCTGATCTCTGAGTTTATGTGGCATATTAAGTGTGCTGTAGCTGCTGCACCAAGGTAGGAGCAGAGCGCCCCAAAAATGTCTCGTCCATCTGCTCAGCCTTAAAGGTGAGGTTAGGGTCTCTTCTTCTTTGAGCCTAGGAAGTGAATCCTATCTATGTCACTTCTTAAAAAATATGTGTGTCTATTGAAAGCTTTGTGGCCATGGCTTCTTTTTGGGCTCACGTTTGGCATCAGGCTTTTGAGTCGTGGATTTCCAAACCAACACAAAAACGGAGACGTGCGTTCCACAAAACAAAACCCCAACCAGATCTCTTCAGGTGCCATGCCAAAACCAGAGCAGCATGTGATGGAGAAATATGGAGGGGCCAGTGCCAAGCGGGTGATGGCAGGGGATCTGCTCAGGCACCCCTTTTCTGCTCCTGCTGCAGCCGTGTGGAAGCGCTCCCACTTCTTGAAGGCCACGAGATCAAGGTGGGACACTCAGCACAACCTCCACACCTCTCCGTAGCTGCTCGGTGGCTACGGTGCTGCTCAATCTACCTGCTTCTGATTAAGCACGTTTGAATTTGCGCATTTGGTTAATAAGCTGCACCTTTCCCGGGTTCTTTTGTTAGCTCCTAAAAGCTGCGTGTTCTGATTTATAGTGCCAAAAGGGGTAAACTGACATTAAAAGCATTAATTAGTCTTGGTTGACTGCACAAAGAATGGAGTTGGTGTGAGCCAGCTTTTGATTTAGCCCTTTGTGGGCCTTTGATTTTGCCTAAGCTTGTTAAAGGGCCTGGATCTCTGGCTTTTTCATGCTAGATTGTATAATTAGGGTTTAGTGTGAAATACAGTGATTGGGCTTGAAGAGCGAGAGCCCTGCGCAATTATAAGCAATAAAGTTGTAAAGCAGTTGGCCAGAACTTTACATGGATTTTAATAGAGCGATGTTCTTTGTTAACTCGTGGGTATGATAACGTCAGTTGCAGGAAAGATACCAAAGGATTTATCGTGAGCTTTGGGCACCCTTGATAAACCTCAGAAATTATATTTTCAGGATCCTCGGGTTGGCCCAACGAGCAGTGCTTCAGCAGCATGCCAACGAAATGGAAGTGTTGGAAACCGTAGCGCAGGTATCGCTGTAGGATTTGATGTTTTTTGGTTTTCCCCACACCTTCACCTATTTCCAACAGGCTAATGGAAATAGAAATGTAAAAGTCGCAGCATTGCCTGGGCTTTTTACTTGGAAATCCTATGTAATTGTGAGTGTGTGCCAGTGTAGGGTAGTTTCTGTAGGACTCAG